CAAGCAAACGAATAAATGAACACTTATATCCAATCACACGTCTTATTTTTATGCCTCATATGGTGATGCATAGGCCTCCAAACCCGACAGGTGGACAAATCTAAACTTGTTTTAATGTAAACAAATATAAATTTGCATATAATAAATACTGCTAATAATACCAGCAATAATCAAGATGCAAATTGTCATGAATAAACTAAAAAAAGCCCCTTGACATGAAGAAGGCATGGAGGCAGTGGTTTTTATGTTTATGTAGAAAATAATAATTTTTGTAACATTTTAATCCTTCAATTTTCTTCATATGTGAAGTTATTTGTGTTTTGTTGTACATCCTGTGTGTATTAAGCAATGTGTAAGCATTTGAACCCACATAGGAACATAACTAATGCGCTCTGTGCTGGTCATTATCTTGGTCTATTTCAGTTCTTCAAAATAGCAACGTGCCAACAATGCGCCTTAACACACCTACTTTTTAGACCAGCGCACCCATGAGTCCACAAAGTGGAGCAAATGGATTTGCTATTTAAACAACATGGCATGAAAAATATGAAAATAAGGGTTGCGCTGGTCTGAAAACAGCAACAAATCTCGCCAAACACGTCTTGCGCCCTAATGCGTCACGTGTAGGGTCCAATGTGTTTGTACTAGGCACTTTAGATCATAAACCTAAACTTAACTCATTTATTTATCCTATATTACCCCGTATATTCTTAGGTAAGTACAGTATGTTACATAAACTGCCACTTTTTTTTTAACAGATAAAAAAAATTTGTTACGCAAAATAATTAAAACAAAAAGTTTTTTTTTATTTACTGCTGTAATAAAACAGTAATATTTATTATTATCATTGCCATAAAAAGTCATTGCCATTATAATTAGTAATAGTATTTAACAATAAGAAGTATTACAGTGATACTACGTATGCAGATTTAATTTTAGTTTGATTAAATTTTTTAGCTTGTTCATTCAATTAAATAATTTTCCTTCGGCTTAGTTCCTTATTTATTAGGGGTCACCACAGCGGAAAGAACTACCAACTGTTGTGGCATGTTTTACCCAGCAGAGCCACAACCCAGTACTGGGAAACACCTATACACTCTCACATACACACATACACTACAGCCTATAATTTTCACCCAATTCACCTATACTGAATGTCTTTGGACTGTGGGGGGAAACCGGAGTACCCGGAGGAAACCCACGTCAACACAGGGAGAAAATGCAAACTTTATGCCAGGACTGAAACCAGTGACCTTTTTGCGTTGAGGCGACAGTGCTAACCACTAAGCCACCGTGCCACCTTTTCAGCTTGAGTTTGGTGGGATAATGCACATACAGTTTTGTGGCTTATTAAAAAAAAAAAAAAATATATATATATATATATATATATATATATATATATATATATATATATATATATATATATATGTAAAACTTGTGAGGTGCCAGATGTGGGAAGGTTTTATATAATAGCCCGTGACCATAGACCTCAATACATAATAGCTTCATAAATGTCACAGATTTAGATCGGCCTGTACAATGGTTTATTTGTCAGAATACTCTTCTTTTAGTGGTTAGTTGATAAATCAGAATCGGAAAGAGCTTTATTGCCAGGTATGTTCACACATACGAGGAATTTTTTTTTTTCATGACAGAGCTACAGTGCAAAAGAATTACAGAGACAGGACAAAAAACAGATAATAAATATATTTAAAAATAGAAGTGAGTGGTGAAAGCAAATATAAAAATTGACAAGTATATTACTATATACAACATTATATGTGCGGCTGTTATGTGCAAATTGGCATGTTAAGTGAGTTGTTAAATAAGTGTATATGTGCAAAAAAGTGTAAAGCAAGTAGTGATGTTGGTTCCACAATTACTATCATCAAGTGTTCATGAGATGGATTGCCTGACGGAAAAAACTTTTTCTGATCAATGCTGTGCTTTTTTGGGGGAAATACCAGTCCTATTCTCCCTCTTGCACTTTACAGTACAGTCCAGTCTGTTCATTACAGGCAAAAGCCACGAAAAATATAATACCTTATGATTTATAGTGCCTTTAAGCCCTCATCTTAAGATATGCTTGGCTCTAATCATTTTAGTCATACACTGTTTAAAGGACAGTATTTGTCCTTCGTCCGTTTGTTCTGTTGATGAGTCACACTAGTTCAGTCGGCGATGGAGAGGAATTTTACATCAAGCCCTTCAGGCACAGCTAATATAATCATTCTTGGCCCATAGTTATTAAAGTGCACTCTATTTGCCTTCATTATAAAATGGCTGATATTGAAACAAAACACATTTTTCCACTATTATTAAGGTTTTTGCACAAATTTGGCAAGAATGACTTCTGGATTTATCTCATTTGTGAAGACAATAGGTTGTTGATTAATTGTAAGACAGCTTAAACTAAGTATCATCATGTATGCATAAATATAAATGAGTATGCGTATGTTTAGGATTGATTTAATGATAAAATGAATAAAACATATGACGTACTGACGAAACATAAAATATTTATACATGTAAACACTTACTAGGTACACCCAGTCCCTAATTTGTGAATTGCGAGGATTGGAAGTAATGGATCCGGCATGTTACCCGAGGATGTAGAAAGTTGAGAGCGGGAAGGTGGTGAGTTTGGCCGAGCGAGGTTGGATAGCAGAGGGGTGTCGCGGAAGAAAGTGAAAGTGAACAGCAGACAGCGGAGGAGGTGCCGGATCCGGCTTGTTCCAGCACAAATTAAGCCCTAGGTATAGCTTACTAGTACCAGGTTGTACCCCCTTTTGTCTTCAGAAAGGCCTTGAATTCTTCATGGCATAGATTCAACAAGGTACTGTAAATGTTCCTCAGAGATTTTTGTCCATATTGACATGATAGCATCATGCAGAATAGTCAGCTGCACATCCATGATGTGAATCTTCGGTTCCACCACATCCAAAAGGTGCTCTATTGGATTGAGATCTGGTGACTGTGGAGGCCATTTGAGTACAATGAACTTATTGTCATGCTCAAGAAACCAGTCTGAGTTTATTAGCAGTTTATGACATGGCGCCTTATCCTGCTGGGATGAACATGGTCATCAACAATACTCAGGTAGGCTGTGGCGTTGACACAATGCTCATTTGGTTCTAATGTGCCAAGAAAATATCCCCCACAGCATTACACTACCACCAGCAGCCTGAACCGTTGATAGTAGGCAGGATGGATCCATGCTTTCATGTTGTTGATGCCTTATTCTGACCCCACCATCCAAATGTTGCAGCAGAAATTGAGACTCATCAGACCTGGCAATGTTTTTTCCAATCTTCTTTTGTCCAATTTTGGTGAGCCTGTATGAACAGTAGCCTCAGTTTTCTGTTCTTAGCTGACAGGAGTGGCACCCGATGTGATCTTCTGCTGCTGTAGCCCATCCGCCTCAAGGTTGGACGTTTTGTACATTCAGAGGTGCTCTTCTGCTTGCCTCGGTTAAAACGAGTGGTTATGTGAGTTACTGTTGCCTTTCTATCAGCTCAAACCAGTCTGGCCATTCTCCTCTGACCTCTGGCATCAACAAGGCATTTGTGCAAAAAGAACTGCCGCTCACTGGATATTTGCTCTTTTTCGGATCATTCTCTGTAAACCCTAAATATGGTTGTGCATGAAAATCCCAGTAGATCAGCAGTTTCTGAAACACTCAGATCAGACTGCCTGGTGCAAACAACCATGTCACGTTCAAAGTTACTTAAATCATCTTACTTCCTCATTCTGTTGCTCGGTTTAAACTTCAGCAGATCAACTTGACCATGTCTACATGTCTAAATGCATTGAGTTGCTGCCATGTGATTGGTTGATTAGGCATTTCATTAACAAGCAGTTGGACAGAAGTTCCTGATAAAGTGTATAAACACATTGTTAAGAGGCACCTTAATTAAAATAAATCTCCAGATGCTCATGTAATGACAATTTACGCATTTCCATCAAAGCTTGTGAATTCACGATGACAGCAACAAAGCAGTAAAAGCAGCTAATAAACATTATGTCTTTACTGATAAAAGCTAAAACATTTTGCTGTCTTACAAAAATCAAATATTTTTATTCAAAAAAAATTTTCTAGACTTGCAAACTGTTAATTTTTGTGGAGACCTTGATACTTTTTTGTCAGGATTGTGTGACTGTTCAAGTATGGGGTCAGTAAAATCTAGTAGTTACTTTTATTCATCAAACATTCATTTGATGTAAGGATTTGTAGGATAGGAATTTCAAATAAACACTGTTCGTGTACGACCACAGTTCATTAGGCACAGTTTACCCTAAAATAAAGTTCCTGTCACCATTTACTCACTCTCAAGTGGTTTCAAACAAGAATGCATTTCCTTTTTCTGTAAAACATTAATAAAGATATATATTAAAGTACGCAGGTAGCCATTGGCTTCCATATTTTATACTTTAGAAAATCTTAGAAAATTTACATAAATATATTGTTTTTTAAAGGCAAGTAAAAAAAAGATGCTTGACATCATTTTGAAGCAAACACGCGAAGCTACAAGATCCAGTCAACAATATCCAAAATTCTTGTGAACAAATATTCAGTGTGTTTTTTGTGGAGTTATTTTAGTGACTTCGAAATGTAAGTAACATACCAAACGTTTATTTCTTAAAAACAAAATCTTGTACAAAAATGTTGTCAATGTATTATTGTAGCCCAGTTTGTGCTATTTACATTGGCATTAGAATTGTATGTTTAAAGCATCTGTAAAAGGACAAATGTCAGGGTACTGTATATCAGAACTTCTTCAGTCTCCTAAAACACCCTTAAAATATCTCTTTCCTTCAACAGAAGATTTGTGATTCAACGAAACACAAATAGGTTGAGTGGACGGTGATTAAATGAAAACAGAATTTCCATTTTAGGGTTAACTGCCTTTAAATGTTGCTTTCTTGCATGTATTATTTTGCAAGAATCATTGATGTATTGCATACTTACTGTGTATATGTTCTTCTTTCTGGTCTTCTAGATGAGTTCATTTAGCACCAGGGCGCTGACGCTGCTGTCGTCGGTGTTCGGGGCGTGTGGTCTGCTCCTGGTGGGAGTGGCCGTTTCCACAGATTACTGGCTGTTAATGGAGGAAGGCATCATTCTGCAGCAGAACCAGACCACAGAGGTCAAGATGGCTCTGCATTCTGGACTCTGGAGGGTCTGTTTTGTGGCTGGTAGGTGCTTCTATTATCTGACCAGTTGCTGAGACGGCTGCTTGATGCTTATTTTACCAAAATAAAATTTGAACATTCCTTAATTTTTAATTATTCAATTAGAACAGTCTGACTTTGCTTAGACAAAAGTCGTCACTTAACTGAAATAATGTATAGTATAGCATATAAAGTCATGCTGCAGTGGAAAACGAATTAATATTGTGTATGACTCCCATGAGCTTGGACGACTGCAGCCATACATCTGTGCAATGACTCAAATTACGTATTAATTAAGTCATCTGTAATGGCAAAGAAAGCAGGACTCCTAGAGTTCATCTTCAGTCCCTCCTCCTTCATCTTACCCCAGACATGCTCAATAATGTTTATATCTGGTGACTGAGCTGGCCAATCCTGGAGCACCTTGACCTCCTTTGCTTTCAGAAACTTTGATGTGGAGGCTGAAGTATGAGGAGCGCTATCCTGCTTAAGAATTTGCTCTCTTCTGTGGTTTGTAATGTAATGGGCAGCACAAATGTCTTTGATACCTCAGGCTGTTGATGTTACCATCCACTCTGTAGATCTCTCTCATGCCCCCAGACTAAATCTAATCCCAACCTTGTTTTTTTCTTCACCAAACTTGACTGATTTCTGTGAAAAAAAAATTCAATTTTTGATGATTGGGATGCAGTTCAACAGATGATTCATCAGAAAAATCTACCATCTGCCACTTTTCCAAATTATCAACTAAAAGTCAAATTATTATTTGTTGCTCTTACAACTGGGAACAACGACAAGACTTCTGTCAGGTAGTGTACTGTATGAAATCTCAGTTTGAGCGTCTGCCAAAGCAAACCAACACTTGCTGTCTTCAACAATTAAGCAAAATGTCTTCTTGTTGGAGAAGGACACACAGTCTCATGAATAGTTATGAGACACAAATGTGTTGATTACGCTAGTCATTTGCCATGTAACCACACATGACGTTGAGTAGTCAACACAATGTAGTTTTAATTTATGCGATTCTGCCATTGTCTCACGTGATGTGCAACACATAACAGAAAATGTAGCTTAATGTCCTATTATGACCCTAAATGAGTGAATAATAAGCTCTTAATTTGGTTGTTTGACATCGGCTTGATGTGTCACAGCCCTGATGATGCTGACTGACAAACGCTGTCTATAATGCTAAAGACATTGGCGTGATTTGAAGAGGAGCGAATGTGGACACTGGGATTTGGGCGTGTGTTTGAGCAGACAAATACACATGATAATGTGTAAACATGTCTGACTTGCTGTGTTTATTTTAAACAACAAATTTTATGGTATTTTATATGTGTCCACTATTTTTACATCACAATGCTGACATAGGTTTCTGAACAGCGCAAATAAACAACATAGGCTTATTCTGAAAACATAGCCCTAAATACATACCTGGAGACCACGAGTTATGTAGCCAGAGGTATGTATGGCTGCATTTAAGTTTTTAAATGAATGCTCTGGGGTGGTGAAATTGGTTGGCTTTAGGGAAGGAGGAGAGTGGGTCAGTCGATCAGTCAGTCAGTCTGTCAGTCAGTCAACAGTGGCCTCTGGTGGGTTTATGCAAGAACAGCAGCAGTGAATGGCACTCGCAAGAGAAATTTGAGATCTCAAAAAGCGCACACAGTCCGCTTTCGTGGATTCGCGAAAACAAAAACTGCAAAAGAACGTAGCCCCTTGGACGTATTTCGCAGTCTCCAGAAATGTATGTAGAGGTGCATTTTTAGAATGAGCCTGGGTTGCAAATAAAGCTGCAACTGGGTGTGGCTAACCTTCGTCACTTTGTTCATGCGTCATTGCACCAACTGGGGTAACCAAAAAAGGGCAAAGAGGCAGAGCTACAGATGTCTGTTAGCGTTTTACTTAGAAGTGTTTTCCTTCAAAGGAAATGCTTAACTTCATTACCTGCGACTCGTTTGTGTTCTGACCACTTGTGCTTGGTTTTATACTATATCAATAAAGTGTTTCGTCTTTTAAAAACAATGTATAATACATTGAGCCACTAAGCATTGTTCCTTATGACGTTTTTTTACAGGAGGAAAAGGCTAATCTCTTCCAAAAACTTCAAATATAGTCTGTGTTAGTAAATGTAAGGCAATTTATGAAATCCAGACATGTATATGTATGTATATGCCGAGTTCAGCGGTTAATCAGCTGGAATCAGGTGACGGCGACTAGCGAGACCTAGCTGTCACTTAAGTGGCCACGCCCTTAATTATGCAGACTTAATATAACCTAATATAAAGGAAACGGATGAGTTTCACCCCCTCACAGTTGTCATGAAGTATAATACTAGCTATATACACCCAAAATCGTTTTTTTCCAGGCTGTAAACACATTTTTTCTGCTGTAAAGTTGGCCATTTTAACATTGGGGTCAATAGAAATGTGTCAGGCCTAGCGGAATTTTAATGAATTGCAGTTTCAGTTACTTCCGAGTTAGCTTCACGAGGGGAAGCGGGATGTTGGCTCAGTCCTGCCCCCTTGAGCTCAAATATCAAGCTGCGCTTATGACCCAGAGTTTAATCCCAGTGTATCATTGTATCAGCCAATGCCATTTTCTTTTAAAATGTCACCTTGGTTAAGCTGCGGTTTGCTCGTGGGTCATCCTGCCATGTTCTGCAGCTGGTCTTCTCTCCTTGCGCTGGTGTGGCATCCTATTGCATCACCCTCCCAAATCCTGCCACCCAATGAAACAGGAACTAGAAATTCTGTGTGGGCAAAGCAGAGCGAGATGCCAAATCAGAAACCACATTCAGTTCCAAAGCCATTAAAGCATGCTGTGAAACATGCTGTTTTCTTTTTTTCGAATTAGCATTTTTACATTTTGCATTAAATAGCATGCTGGTTTGTTTTGATGCCACTGGCAGGAAGTGCTGAGGTGGACTGAAACGATGCCACACCAGTTGGAGGCAAATGGCTGACTAAGAGAAGTGTGAGGATGATGTCACCTTTTTCTAGCTTAACCAGTTCTGGTTTTTAGTTAGCCTGTATGTGGGAGTATGATAAATCACCACAGGACGACTCTTTGCCCATTAGGTGTGTCGTGTGTGTGTATAATTTGCACACTTTTCTTGTGCTCCAGAGAGAACATGATTTATGTGTGTTGTGCTTAAACTGGATCTGTTTTGTATTATTATTTTTAATATATGTGTGTGTGCCGAGAGGGAGGTCTAATGTGCCCTGCTTTCATGTACATTATTCAGAAGCGTCAAGCCCATTTGTTCTCTCTCCGATTTTTTAATAAAGTGATTTTACATTTATCTTTAAAAATTACATTTAATTAAATGGGACAACTTTAGAACTTCAGCAAGTAAAAAATACTAAGATTTTTTGGACATTAACATGCAAAAATATATATTATATTATATATTAATTATATATAATATTTTATATAATAATCTTAACAGTCTTGCCTTTTTATTCCATGTATAGCATTCATGTTTTTATTAATTTCATATATTTTCTGAATTTGGTTATAGTCAATTTTGCTTTATTACAGTTTTTCTCATTTGGTTTGGCTCATTACTTGAAACAGGAATATTATTCTCAACACTATAAGACAGATATCTTAGTTTACCACAACACTATAGCTCACTTGCAAAAGCTTGTATATTTCCCAAAACTGTTCACTCGTGTGTCAAAACTAAATTTCCTTCTCATTTAAACAGTCAGTGCCCCCCAAAATCATTTGTTCCTTTTGCATTTTGTAAGCAGTGCAAGGCAAAATGTTTAGTTGTTTTGTCACTATCGCAGACGACCACTAAAATATCCCTCATATCCACCTTTCAGTCTTAGCTCAGTTTTTTAAATAATTGTTACTCCAGTTTTTTTTAACAGAATGCAATTGTGTATAAAACTAAATAAAATAAATTGATAAGATTTAAAAAAAATCTAAAAAGGATTTTAGTTTAAGAGTAGCCTCAAAGGTTTGACATCAAGCATTGCACTCACACTGACAAGGAAATTGTAACCATTATCAATCACACACATAAAGTAATTTCCCTACATCAGAATAAAAACATATACTGTAATATAAACACAAACAAGAAAAAAAACAATAAAAATTATACGCAGCCTACAGTGCTTGATTGGTCATCTAAGATTTGTGAAATTCCTCCTTTGTTAGTGAAGTTCTAGTTTCACCTGACTGTCAGTTGCTGTAATAATTGTATCAAAGGTTACACATATTCATATATGGTATTCATAGTATTATGTTCTTGACTAATTTTGACGATTGAACAGACTATTGTGCCTGTGATGACTTATACAATGAAATGACGCTGACATATTTTGAAGCGAGCAACCACTGAACTGAGAATCAACAATCAGTTCAACTAGATCTATTCACTTGGAGATTGTACTAAAGGTTGGCTACCTGTACTTAATCACTTGCAAAGATGTACTTAGACATTTGCAATTTGATGACATGAATGAGAAAATCAAGTCTGTTGTGAACAATTGCCAAGTGGTTTGGAGGTTTGTCCATGTTGTTTTGAGAATGTAATTTCTGTTTAATAAAATGAGTCAAATGAATAGAGAAAAATTGTAATACAGTAAATATATAGTTAAAGAGCCCCTATTTTGCATTATAAAAGGTCATATTTTGATTTCGGGGGTCTCCAACAACAGGCTGATATTCATGCAAGGTCAAAAGACACTTTCATTGTCTTATAATATAGATTTATTTATAAACACATTTAAATCAGAGGAAGCAGTATGCATTGGGTTTTCACCGTGGTTTTGGACGCAATATGTGAAGTAGCCCCATAAACATTTAACCTGAGAGATGCATTACATTATAAGATACATTATAATCCACGTGGAGCGATTACAACTTACAACACACAATTAAATACATATTTTGCAATCTACAAAAAAATGAGGCAACAATTTTAATTACACTTACATGTTATGATTCAGAGGAAGAATAAACTGGTCCATATGAACTATAACAGTAACTGTCCCTGTCAAAATCTGACAAAATCCCATACATTAGTAGTCTCTGTTGCTCCACCCTTTAATAGTAAACGACGACGAATCCCGCATTGCAGTGTAGGTTATTGTATCAGAAACCCATAATATAACATTTTGAGGGATGTAAACAAAAACAATGGTCCTAACGTATTTCCTATTTTACTTTTTAACATTTTTTTGGCTTCCAAGAATCGAAAAAGAGGCACATATTGACAAATAATGTTATGATAGCTGTTTTAACATTAAGTTACGATTGAGATGCCTCTTGTTACAGTTAGGAAATAGTTTGATAACAGGCAGGAAATGTTCATATGGCCAATGACATGACCACATTTAAATGGTCTATAGGGGCTCTTTAAATGAACTGTTTATTTGAACCCTTTTGCTGTTTTTAACAACAAGAAACAAGATCACAAATCTTATCTGCATATAGTTTGGTGGTATAGTGGTAACATTAAATAAAAAAATAACATTTTTGCCCATCAGATTAAAAAATAAATAAAATCACTATGTATTTCATACAAATAAACTATATGAAAATTTTATTTTTATTTTTTATTTTTTTACCCAGCAGGCACAGGACATCAACATTACGTTGTACCCCAATGTCATAGGATGTTGCATTTTGGGTGAAAATTAAAATCTGATTGACGTCAGAACCCAATGCCAGGCCGACATCAATGTCCAACTTTAGACAGTTGTTGCATTTTGAGTACTTTAAGCAACCTAAAAACAACAAAATATCAACATCTAATGATGTAAAAGCTTGCCATTGATTGGACGTTACCAATATCTTTTGGTTGCCATAACTGACAAATAAATGTCAGTATTTGACATTAATAAAATGTTGGTTTAAGATGTTGGCTCATTGCTGGATTTTGCTCACTTTCCAACACAACCTAAAATCAACAAAATATCAACATCATTTCACGCCCTTATTGGACATCAAAATAACATTGTCCTCAGACGCTGGCGACCAAAATCTAACCCAATATTACCATCTTATTACATTGTGTGTCTGCTGGGTATTTTAACATTAAACCCGGTTTCTGTCTTGCAAAAAGGTTATTGTCATGTAAATAAACCGCTAAAATCCATAACAAATTTTTTAAGTTTTAGTTGAAAACATACCTATAATAGTAAATTTTTGTTGTGTTTGTTGTTATCTGTAAATGCAACGTTAAATATTTAGAGCAGTAAATTAGTTTTTATATTAACTAAGATTAACAAAGATTAATGCATTTTGAAAGCATATATTGCTCATTGTTAGCAAATGCTATTAACAATTATTTAAAAACTCCCTGTTACCATTTACAAACATTTCTAAAATAAATATATGAAGTATTTAATTTAGTTGTCTGAATATTAACAAATTTCTTGCCAAATTGGACTGCAGGTTTTAGATAGATAGATAGATAGATAGATAGATAGATAGATAGATAGATAGATAGATAGATAGATAGATAGATAGATAGATAGATAGATAGATAGATAGATAGATAGATAGATAGATTTTATGCAATAAAACTGGCATGATGCTTCTGAATAAATGCAGTTTCTACATGTACTGTACTGCCTGTGAGTTTTCTCGCCTCTTAGTGTTTGAAGTGAAATGATTGCTGTGTTTCTCTGTGTTTGTCCCCGTCTCCCCTACTGTCATTGTCAATCTCTGTCCCGCTCTGCCTATACACTCTCTCTCTTTCTGTCTCTCTTTGTGTCCCTGTCTCTGCCTTTTTCTGTCTCTCGCTCTCTTTTTCTCTCTCTCTGTCTTTCTCTCTGTCTCTCTTTCCATCTCAGGGCCAGAGAAGGGGAGATGTGTGGCATCTGAATACTTCACTGAGCCAGAAATAGAGATCACTACTGAGAACACAGCCAATATACTAAGTAAGAAAAATGTATACACTTTTACTTTTCAATCAACGATGCGTGTACAAGATGTTAAATATAATCATTTCTGAAAAGTTATGAAAAGGAGAATATTCATTCACTGAATTATGTTTTGTAACTGAATTCTCTGTGTACAACTGTGTTTTATGCCATTTTTAATTATATTATATTATTCATTTATTCACTCATTCATTTTCTTTTCGGCTTAGTCCCTTTATTAATCCGGGGTCGCCACAGCAGAATGAACCTCCAACTTATCCAGTATATGTTTTACAGAGCAGATGCCCTTCCAGCTGCAACCTATTACTAGCAAACATCCATACACACTCATCCACACTCATACACTACGGACAATTTAGCTTATCCAATTTAGCTATAGTGCATGTCTTTGGACTTGTGGGGGAAACCGGAGCACCTGGAGGAAACACATAAACACAGGGAGAACATGCTAACTCCACAAAGAAATGCCAGCTGACCCAGCTGAGGCTCGAACTAGCGACCTTCTTGCTGTGAGGCGACCGTGCTACCCACTGCACCACCGTGCTGCCAAAGACTACATTTATCTATATAAAAAAAAATTACACTTGACTTGTCATGCCCATCATTTGGTTTTGAGGCACTAAAACGTCTGTACTTGTGTCTTTTATCTGTTAGAAATGGTCAGGACCGCCACCCCATTCCCTATGGTCTCACTTCTTTTTGTCTTCACGGCTTTTGTCATAAGCAACATCGGCCACATCCGTCCCCAGCGTACCATTCTGGCCTTCGTCTCTGGAATCTTTTTCATCTTATCAGGTAAGTTATCAACACTTTGTTAAATGCAAACAAAGTGCCTAAAACCCTTTGCACTTGACATAATCAAGATGTTCCCACTTTTGAGGTTCATATAGTTGTGCATCCCCTTGCATACTCTAGATTAGATGCTGTTTGTTGATATTGAGTTTCAGTGGTGAGCCTGGTAATTCTCCACAACTCTGTCCGAAACCAGGCTGCGAATCCCACTGAGAGTACTGCATATTTAATGAGTGGTGTTCCCGATATCCATCTATGGTAGTGTGCAGTACACAATATCCATTAAATTGTGCTCTTTTTCCACACAAACAGTAATTAATAAGCACATTCTCTGATCCAGCAGAAAGAGCTCTCCCTAACAGCTGTCATTTGCATTCGCCTAATAGAAACAGATTGTCGAGATGCCGAAGTGAGGTTTGATTTGACTAATTTGCATGCAAAGTATGTCCTAAAACAGAACTGGTGCGCATGAATGTTCTGAAAGAAATGTTTATTTAGGCATTACACTAAAGGCAAGATTACTGATATATAAAGAGTAACACTTGAGGGCTGGATTGATGACTACACTAATAATTCAGTTTAATTGCTCTTTTTCTCAAGGTGGTTGAATTGATTGTGATAGATTACTGTGTATTTCACAACGCTCAGTATGGATTGAAGGTTTGTGGCAGAGGTATATCAGTTGATTGTATCAGTTTTGTATTGACAGATGTACAAATCAGCCACCACGCTTTTAAAAGCATTTAAAGCTTTAACATGACGTGTTTTAAACAGCACAACGGAATACTTGTTTCTGACGGTAGAATTGCTCATATATTGTTGACTTTGCTCATATAGACTTATATAATCTTAAGGTTATTTATTTATTTATTTATTTATTTATTCATTCATTCATGCTAGAACTAAAACTACAATGAGTTTTGTGTCCATTTGTGAATTAATATACATCTTGATGTTGATGTGTTAAAATCAGTTTTGAGGTTACACGTTACAAGCAATATATATATATATATATATATATATATATATATATTAATAATATTATTAATAATATTAATATAATATAACACATTACTTTTAAAAATAAGTATTATCATTTGAGTTACTTTTTAAAAAATGTAATGCAATTTACTTTTTACCTTGCTTAATTGGCTTTAAAAACATATTGCGGAAAGAAAATGACCGTAGTCAGGTTGAATCACAGATTCAATGAGCGAGTGTGCTGAGAGGGAACAGACAGTCGACTCACACTCGTCATTATCCTCATCAGGTCTCCTTTTTCACAGCAGAGGTGTCAGTGTACTGCTCTAGTACCTTATTAACTCAGGATATGGGTTTATTTCAAGTCAGAGGGACTATCCGGTATGTAAGTACTTACTGAGGACAGACACTGTTTCATCGTTTCAAACCATTTCCACAATCGTTTCACTCCATTACAATTTATTAAATGGAGTTCACTTAAGACGTGTTCACTTAGAAGATCCGGTTAAAACAAATCAATACAGACAGTCAGAATGGCAGGCCGGAGACTTACATTTTTGCAATAGATTCTTGTTATTTTGAACTCATCAAAGAAAAGAAGCGGATTGTCATTAGTCATGGTACGATAACCGTTTTTAAAGTATACCGCAGATTGGAAAATTTAAGGTTTGAAAACCAGCAAAATTTTCTGTAATACCGTTCCTAAAGTATAAAACAGTATCTGCAGCAAAAAATATATCCAAAGATGACATTTTAAATTGTAATCAAATCAGTGTTTTTGAAACTAATGAAGACAGCAGAGGTCAAGGATTCAATCTGAATTATTTAGCCGTACATGTTTACTGCTCCAAAATATTTTTTATGTTTCTTTAACTAAAATATTTTTTATTAAAAGCCAGAAAAAGGTTTTTTTTTTTTACTTAGTCAATAAAAAATAACATATTTTAAAGCAGTGATCACAATACCATAAAACCTGGGAAACCGTGATATTTTTATCCAAGGGACTTATACCGTCAGAATCTTATACCGGCCCATGCTTAGTCATTAAATGTAGATTATGTGAAAGTAAAACTCTTGACAACTTCAAGAAACAAGACATGATCAAAAAAAAAATAGCACTACACCCACACCCCACCTTCAGCTAAACAACAACTGATTGAAATCAGTTCACATTCTCCAGGTAAAACAATTAATTCGACTAAACAAAACAAAAAAAATGGTGATTGCTTTTATTGTTGAAGAGATGTAGTCAATGTCTAACGTGTAACGTGTGGATTGAACCAGTGATTCTTTGTATGGCAGTTAGTTGCTCTAACAAGGAGGCAAAAGACCATGGCCTCTAGCATCTGCCGCTAGAGCACCTTTAGAGGTCAGAGGAGTGAGGTTTACCTGCATAGCACTTTGCTAGCTGGCCTCTATTACACTTGTTTAATAATCACTTTTTATTGTCCCAGGGTACATAATTTTCCACATTCTGAAACTCTGCTTTTAAAATACACTCAACGGCCACTTTATTAGCTGTACCTGTACAACTGCTCAATAACAGGTCAGATGAGAATTTAGTTTGAGCTGATAGAAAGGCAACATTAACTCAAACCCTATTGACCTTATTTTTCACGTACGTGCGGGCACAGCCATTTGAATCTTTTTTGCTCGTAACTTCTGGTCTCATTGACTTCCATTCACTTTAAATGTTAAAAACAGCTCGTTATGCTGCTTGATGTTGCAAACTGATGTTTTCTTCTTATATTATTCTACTTTGTCTGAATAGACATTTCAATGTGGTAATGTCATTGGCCCATAATATTTCCTGCTTGTTGCCAAACTATTTCATAACTGTAACAAGAGGCATCTCAATCATATCCTAATGTTAAAACTGCTGTTATAACATTATTTATCAATATGTGGATCATTTTGCATTCTCAAAAGCTATGGAAAATAAAAATGTAAAACAAGAAATACATTAGGAATGCTGTTATTGTTTACATCCCTCAAAATGGTCTATAGTCATGAACACAATTGTTTGTAGAGGAAGTAGTTTGACCATGTTCAGCCTTTTATTATTCCTAATCTTTGTACTGATACCATTTTATTTGTTTATAATTAAATATAGGTAAGAATATAAGAAATGAAAATGATTTTCAATTTAGTCTGCATATGTGGACATCTTATGTAAAAACTGCTCCATATTGAATGAAGCACATGCAAATAATTCAAACGTTAGTGTGCCCCCTTCCAACTCAGAATTAAAAATGAGTAAATTATTATTATCTTAGAATTCTCACTGAATTGAAACCTCATAATATTGACTTTTCTCATAATTCAGAGAAAATAGACAGAATTGTAAGATTTGCAAATGCAATTGTATAGTCTTTCTTGCAATTCTGAAATGAAACTGCAAGATATAACGTCAATAGTTTTGAACTACAAGACAAACCCTCATAATTTATTGGGGGAAGACCACATTGTCAAGATATTTTCAAGAATTCTGGTTTGCATGTCTGATTTAACACGCATTTAGTTTTTAAATATTTTAACTCATCATTTTTTCTTTAATTTTCACAAAAATATAAGGTTTCTCATATTTCATCTTTTCAGCAATATTAAAAATTTACTAAAACTGTATCAAGATACATGTACAAAGTGACAATTCTGAGAAACAAGTTCGAAATCGCAGGAAAAAGTTGCATTTTTGAGTTTGTCGCAACTGTATTTTTTTCTCAGAATCTCAAGCTTATATTTTCATTTCTATAACTTGCAACTAGTCATTTCTCCCATATGCAACTGAATCGGAAGTTCTAAAACAATTTTTTAAAAATTAGCGCACTTCAGCATTGTAGAATAAGGTCAATACTGCAGCGTATCTCAATCCTTGTCCTTGCGTTCCATTGCACTGTATATTTTCCATGTCTCTCTTAAGACATTTTGATTTAAATGAGCAGCGCTTCAGAAGAGCTCCAGAACTGTTCTAACTGAAACATCCTTACAAAGTGTGCACTGTTGTTTCGTCCCTTCTCATTCATTGCTTTTTATCAGAGCATGAGAAACTTTCACTTCAGAACTTTCATTCACGGATTTGCACCATGACGCTGTCTGCAGCATTTTACTAGCGAATGGATTTAGCTCCCTTTCAAGCTGAAATTGTCAGAATACCGTCTAGAATCCACATTGTTGTGCACTTGTTGTTGAATTAGAACAAATGTCTGATGTAACATTTGCACATTTCAGAATGTGGAGTGTGTATGGGTCCATGGAGCAGATTGATTTCACCAAGTAGGACATGTTCGTGAATTAACATCTATTGTGTTAATCCTGGAACAACAATCCAATTAGCCAATCAGAATTAAGGAATACATTTAACGTTCATGTTAGGTTTAGGCTTACGTTTAGGTTTATGCACTTCTCTGATTTTTGGAATAATTTGCAGTTATGGTTGGGATTAGGGGTAGGGAATAGGTATGGATTAAATTTTTGAACAAAAATATTGTTCCTGGCACAACATATTGTAGATGTTAATCCAGGATTGCATCGAACTTGGCAAAATCATGACATGCTGGCAATACAGCCATCTACAGAAGAGTATCTTTGAACACACACCGTCCAACCCTAAATCAGATGAGCTACAGCAGCAGCAGAAGAAGAAGAGCACACCGTAGGCAATTCTAGTCAGCTGTGGGAAAGTAACTACAGAGACTACAATTCACACATGCTCATCAAATTTATATAATAGAATACTGGAGGCTGACTGATCTGATGATTATTTGAGATATTCAGGGTCAGAGTTTGCCATGAATAACACAAAAGCATGAACCCATCCTGCCTTGAATTAATGACTACAATTAGACATACATGATTAACGTGATCATAATTCAATAATCAGGTTAAGTATTTAATCTCATTATCATATATACGTGACAAGATCAAAGCTCTTCAATCCTGTTTACATGCAAATTTAATTGTTCATATTATTTCCCAAGAACTTTGGTTCTTTTTGATGCAGTTATTGAACTGTGGGACTGACC